CGGTTTTTTGGATTTTTTACTAAAGTTGAGAAACAATCTTATCAGGTAAAGAATTTGACGATACGTTTAGTCCGCGTTAGTTGCTACTTATAATGTAAAAAAAATGGCAACAAAAATTTGGACAAATTTTTACCGCATACGCCGGAGCAAGTAGTACTATGGCCTAAACACGAACCTGTCCTCGTTTTATTGCCACAGATACATATAGCGCCGCGTTACATACCACTAAGCGTCTCATGGCAATAATGGAGGAAGGGAGTGTTACGAATTTACTCGTACGTGTGTGGTTGTGGCGTGCATGCGTGTAGTATTGCGCGCAACCGTGTGGCGAATCTTGTTTGGCGTCTTACACGAAATTGGTGCGCTGCGTTCCAAAAGCGCTGTTCGCAGAATCCGTGTCGCAAAAGCAGTATTCGTATGCGCAGCTGCAGCATCCAACTTAAACTTTCACTAATCTGCATGCTCACCCAAAAAAGGCCGGCGAATTCGCGTGGCGCTTTGACGAGCACATGGGCGCTAGCCACGTGTGCTGACCACGCATGGGGTTGACAACACCCGCACCCTTCCCGCAGCTGCGGCCTCAGTCGTCAGCCTTACGCATAGTCGGTTTCGCCAAACGGCAGTTCGAACTCTGGTAAAGCGCGATCGCGCAAGCGTGCGACGTCTAAGACGCGTCTTGCCAACTAGATGGTCAACAGATGCGGGGGATTATTTTCGTTGTGGCCGCAGCAGCGGTTGGTGAGAGCCCCAACCTAAGCGCTAATCGCGAGCATTATATTGCCGCATATGAAATACCTGCGCGCACCGGGTGGCAATTAGGGGCAGGCAGGGTCTTGTTAGTATCGTTGGACGAATCGCTGGATTAAAGAAAGAAACAGTCAACAATGTGGCGTATATTTGTACAGCAAACGCAATTCACGACGCAATAATGCGGTCGGACATAGCGGTCATTGTTATTTACTCGCGAACTCGCCGAATAGCCTTTACTATTCTGAGCATATGTATACACGATTTGCCCCCTGGACGCATATGGGAGATTTTTCAATACTCCAACAAACGGTCCTTCTTTTCGTCCGGTCGTTTCGCGTATTTGCATTGGTGTGAGCGCTGAAAATATGCATGCCTGAAGTCAACATTACCATCTATAAAAGGTAATAACTTTAGCGCGTCGTTCGTCCGCATTCCGGCCTACTCTAATTACAAATATGTAATCCGCACCGAGGCGCCGACTAGAACCTAACCTACTCGGTGTTAAAATGTTGCATATTTGTATAAAGGCCTACTCCAGAGTAAACCACTAAGGCTAGCGCTCTGACGCCCGTGTTAAGACGTTGAATCAAAACAAAAGGGATGGTCAAGTAACGTGTTACTCCATCAGTTGTGGCGTTTACCGTGGGGCATTTGTACGTGCGCGCGGTGGCGTACGCGTGTGCGCGGCCATGAGTGTAGGTAAGCCTGTACAGATTACTGGCTAAGAATACTGACCAGTAATAATCGTGGACGTGTGTTCGGCGCGTACTGCACGCCTCCTGAGGGCCATCTATCAAAAACGCAGGCGATGTTTACGCTATCGCTTTCCTATTTCAACAGGATGTCAACCTCGTGGGCCGGGTTTTTCTGTGCTCCGGTTTTTGTTGCTCCTATTCACCACGGTGTGTGGCGTACGTACCATAAGCTACTTTATTTTACTTTACTCATACGAGAACCGTCCATTCCGTCGCGTATGCGATTCTTCTAGAACCAAGCATTTCAACCTGACAGACGTAAATACGCATCAGACTGAATGCGTGGGCACAATGGTGCCGCGCGCTGCCTTTTATTGTAGCGACGTACTGGAACAGTATTGAAAGCGATTCAATCGGGATAAAAGCCCCCTCGCAGTTCCGCTTATATATTGCCATATATACTACATATATAAGCCTCGCTCTCGAGCTCGCGGCGTGCCTGCATTATCCGAGCGACCTTGATGCTACACGTGATGGCCTTCCGGGAGCAGCGGAGCCGGGCCAGGCGTGACCTTGAGCAAGATCAGTGGCGGGAAAATTACGGAGCGCGTCCCGAACCTATTATGGCGGCCACACGGGCACACATACACCCCCACCCCCATCACATACACACACGCACGCGCACGAGCGCGTACACACATGTATACGAGCACACACACACACACAAACACACACACGCGCGCGCGCGCCCGTACACGCACACATGAACGCACGCACACACACACGTACACACACCCACATACACACGCCCACATAAACACGCCCACGACGCCCCACGTACACACACCCAGGCACGTACATATGCAGAAACACGCGCACACATACATACCGGCACGTACTCCAGATGGTACGTGGCAGAACGGTGGCATCGTAGATCTCTCTGTGATGATATTTACCACAATTCTATTGTCGTTACAGTATTTACAGTTTTTTTCGGGCGAAGCGCGCCATTCATTGCGTTTTCCGGTTTACCGTTGCAATTATACCGGCGGTGATTTTGTATGCATACGCGGAGAAGACGACGTGCGTCTACAAAATAGCTTCAAATTGCTGTCGTTCTGTGTGCCGCGTCTGGCGCCGGAATGCTTTAGCAAACGAAACGAACGCGTGCGGGACGCACCGATGATAGAATTGTATTTCGATGAGATTTGACCGGAAATCTGTTCCAATTTTTTTTTCAACCAAAGGCGCGCGAACCGTGCCCGCGTATTTGAATAGCGACAGTTTTTCTTCCGCGATCGAGTGTGCGTTTTTTGTTCATCTCGATTTATCCTTTAGTGACCGAATAATCCAACTTGAATAGAATAATTGCAATTGGGGCGATTACTTTATTAAAGCGATAATTCGAACGTCTAATTACGTAATACATAGGTGATAAAAATCCATCGACGCGATGGACATGGTAGTCGCGTGGTTTTCAATAACAGCTTCATCATTGGGTTCGAATAGATGAATTGAGATCAAATTAGGAGGCTGGGACATGCTTCGCTTCCCCCGGAGGACGGTCCCGTACATACACACCCCTGGTGTAATCATCATCCAGTATCTACCCGCCGCTGTAATAGACGACAGTGCGTCTCGTTCCGCGCTCCTGCCGCAGATAATAGCGCGCGTGTTCCCACGCAGACGACGCGGCGACGTTGACAACCTGCCGGACGACAAAAAGTTGGCGACATTCGGCTATTGTCTCCGTAATCACGGAGCCGGTCGCAATAATCTGTCTGCGCCCCTTTACCTTAACCTCGCGTCGTTCTCCGCGATGATCGGTGTCGTTTGATCGCGGGCCCGTCGCTCGCGCCGCCGTGCTCCAGGGACGTCAACCAGCTCGACACCGCCGCGTCACCCCCGCACGCATAAAGCGGACAATGGCGCTCTCTTTGTTTTGCGGCGCTGGCGGTGGGGACGGGTAGACTGATCAGTTCGATCGATTCTAAATCGGGTTACCGTCACCAAAACATCGGCACGTTTGATGTGTGACCAGCGGTGCTTATGAGCTGTTACTCGCCAACCGCTCGCACACGCGAGGCTTGATAGGAGAGCCCGCGCGCGCGTGTATAGAGCCAGCCACCCGCTCGTCTGCACTAGTAACGACGTCAGTTATCTTGCGTAGCCGCCCACTCGCCGCGCCATTACCGTACATATAGAAGTATGAGATTTGATGGTCCCTTGTGCGGATTTCTTCTGCTGGTTCACCTGTCTGTCTTGCGGGAGCTTTGATGCATGCGCGGCGACGTTCACTGAGACGTTCACTGAATGTTGCTTTGTGCGGCCCGCATGGACCCAGATTTGCTCTAATTATATCATTACCGGGGGACTAATTACTTTGATAGCTAGTCGGATATGGTATTGATGAGCGTCTACGCAGCTCGACGAATGAACGGTGCATTATTTGTAAATAAATGCACTAACATTTAGGTTTTTCACATCTGCGTGACTCATAATTAAGCGTCGATATTATAATTCACTAATTAAATCGCATTTATTGATAGAAAACTAAAAGAACCTGCGTTACCCTTAGCGGCCTTTGATATAGGAGGATGCCATGTTATGTCGACGATAATGTCGTCACAATTCTTTCCTGGTATAATGCTCACACATGTCAGGCTGTCAAGGTTACACACAGCTAGGACATTGACTCTACCGTATGATTGATTTATGGCAACGATAAAAAATATCTAGCGGGCAAATATGGGTTACCGAGTTACTCATATTTACTCATCACGCATGTTTACTCCCCATGCATCTGTGTGAGTATAGGCGAGCAACTGTCGCTATCAGGTGGCTGTTCGCCAATCTCATTTGATGATATGCCTGCACATACCTGTTGTCGTTATGTGTGTACATTGACTAGAGAAAGGATCAAACAACTCTGCAAGGCCATCAGTTTCAAGAAGCTAATTAACGATACACGCTGGTGTCATCGGCATTCACGCAATCCTAACCTACTCTCAAAATGTGAAAGGAACCACGATTTTATTCCCTGGTAATAACTCGAATCAGAAAGCGAAATTGATGCGTAATATACTATAATTTAATGCTAATACACACGCGCGCGCGCGGGAGAGAGAGAGAGGAATAGCGTGAGAATCATTTTCTCCCTTCGTCACCACTTAATAGTTAATGAACGTCAACCACCGGGTATTATGTGTGGCGACGATTATTCGTTCACACGCATAGCCATCGCGACGCTTATGTGAATTATTCAAGAGTGTCCCGTGTTGCTCGGGGCGCTATTGCAGACGGTAACTGTTGCTCTCCCGCCTTGCCGCGCGGTAGCGGCGTCACTACTGTGCGTGCGAACCACGGCGACTCGCTCGAATCACGACTGAAAGACCGCGACACGCCGTCACTAGTCCCACACAATTTAATGCCGACGCGCTACGCTCTGGCACCGCGCTACTGCTGCGCGCACTGGGAATGAGGATCGCTGCGCTAATCACGTGGTGCTTGCTCGACGCTGAGTGGGCAGACGGCAGAGGCGCGCTCGAGTCGTATTTCGGGGTCGGCGAGCTAGCAAACAGTTTTACGCGAGAGCACCGTATAGTCGCACGTGTCGTCTTATACCACCACCGTGTCTCTAGCAGTACACACACGCGCACACACACAGTCACGCTCACGTTTGCAATCGCGCGGTTACCACCACCGTTCAATATGATCAACATACAATCGCTCAACACGTTCACGCTGCGCAAGCGGCAGAAGGTCTCCGTCAGGCGAATGCTCTTCGGACCCGTCAACCACGAGGAGACGAAGAAGGGTCTGCAGAAGGAGATGGCCAAGATATGCGACGCCGATCGGCAGCGATGGAACTTCGACTTCGCGCGCGAGACGCCGCTGCCGGGCAGCTTCGCCTGGGAGCGAGTGCCGCTGCAGTGCGCCGACGTGCATCCGTCGTACGGCATGGACCGTCTGCCGTTCATCGGCGGCAAGTTGCAGTACGACTACGATTGCGACGTGGCGCTGCTCTCGCCCGACGCGCGGCCGCGCACGCCCGAGCGCGACGCCGAGGACAGCGAGAATCATCGCGTCTTCCGGTTCGGATCGGACGTCGTCGGCGACAGCACGCGGCTGCGTTCGCCGTCGCCGACAGCCGCGACGACCGAGGAGAGCAGGACGTTGACGGAAGCGGACGATTCGCGACGCGCGACACGACAGCAGCAGACGGTGCCGCAGCGGCAGCAGCAGACGGTGCCGCAGCGACAGCGCACACTCACAGGTACGTTTACCGCTAGCACTAGTTTGGTTCGCTCATCCTAGTTTGAGACCCCAAGTATATATAGTTCGCATATGTATCATCATATGTATATATATATATATATATATATATATATATATATATATATATATATATATATATATATATATATATATATATATATAAACTAATCCGGGTTGGTAAACTAGGGATGGGCCTGCTTGTTTCATCATGCAGTGGGCAGGTTGAGACACGAGCGAACGTTAGAGCTACGTCTGTTCTAGAGCTCCAAGAAACCGTCACGTATTGTAAGACCTTGTGATGTATTTATTATTCTTACAGTCGCCTGGGGTTACGTCTAACCTAGCCGCAAGTAACCACCGTAGTTATCACAGGCGTCATATAGTAGACTAGCTCTAGTACTATAGCCCGCGGTTGGTTGGGCTTGGTTGGGGTACTATCCCTTGATACGATAACGTGATGCTAGTCAGGGGTTCTGCTCATTGAGGCCTGTGGGTCAGACAGAGTTACATTAGTGTACATTGTATTTCCCACCCTCAGCCAAGGTGGAACAGAATACACTGCATAGTCGTGTTGTCATCTAAAAGCTCTAAAATAAACACCGCTGGATGCTGTAGCTAAAATACGCATAAAGACAGACCAAAATAGCGTTATAGACATTGGTTTGAAGCTTTTATGCTAGTTTCTAACCACGGATGTCAACGGACAGCAAAGAATATTTAGGAAAGGTGATTCCTACTTTCATCGCGATCGTACGGTATTTATTTGATGTATTCTAGTAACTAAAGTAGGCCAACGAGACTGTGCGACTAATGTTTATACATCAGTATACACAACGGGCTCCGACTAAAGCAGCTAAGGTGTAGACAGTACATATTACATTCGACTGCGTTAAATGGCTTGCAAGCAGGCAAGCAACTGTGATTAATGATGATCTGGTAAAGTGTTAGGAAGTGCAGCGATTAAACGTGCGCGCAACGTATCCGCTGAGCTTACAGTAAAACCGACACACTTATTCGTCTATTTGCAACACACCCACCCTCGGCAGATCTTAAAATAGAGCAGGCATCTGAAATCATGAACTGTGAAGCGGATACGAGTGTAGTGGTAGTAGTAACTTCATGTCTGATCGAAAAAGCGTGCGTGTAGCAATGTTGGCACGTAGTACAGAAACCACAGCCGCGTCCGTACAACCCCGTATCACCCGCTATGCGCTCGCTCGATGCGTCTGCACGCGTCTATTTGCTCAACGCGGCCACGTTATCGCCGCGCGTATCGTCGTCCCACGAGTTAGTGCGTATACTACCGCTGAGAGGGTCTATGTCCCCCAGGGTACTGCCGGAACGTACCCTGGTACTATCTAATATGCCGGACCGTACCTCGCCTACTCCACTAACGAGTCTAGGGAGTCGCCTACGCCTACTCCCTAACCCGAACCCTAACCATATCAGATACTGAGATAGTTACCAGGGTACGTTCCGGCAGTACCCTGGGGGACATAGACCCTCTGAGCGGTACTAACATAGTATCTAATAAC